CATAGCGTGAATACAAGGTTCAAACATTTGTACAATATTCCAGCCCATAGAACTTCAAAATATGAATGTAGCTACTCAGTAGTAGCGCCCACTTTGTTTAATAAATAAATTCAAGGGAGAGACATTAAGAGTAAGAATTTTTTTAAAAATAATCCTAAACCGCAAATGATTGAATTATACCATTGAATAACTTTGACTCAACGATATTATACTTAACTATTTCATTTACATCTATTTAACATTATTTGTAAGTTATCTTTCTGTTATTATAGTTTATCTTCTTTCTTTTTATATTGCAATTAAAATTAAGTTAGTTTAATTTATCTGTACTTGCTGGTGGAGTGGAAGAACACCTTTGGCTGAACCCCTTCCATTTGTGTTTTTCGCAATAAACATTGTTATTGTTATTATTATTATAGAAACAATTGACGTGCTCCATGCTTTTAAGTACCGTCATCTAAATCAAGTTGGTTTGTTATACCGTACATGTGATTATTCCTTCATATTGTTTCTTTAGCATTAATTCATATTCACGAGGAAGCTGATTATCAGTGTGCTGTCAATCTGTATGCTTCAATTTAACTCCATGATAATAAGTAAGTACCTGTCCTAATACAATCCGATTCTTCGCTGTATTTGTTACTCTCTTACTCGTGGCCCGCGACCGGGCAGTGCGTAAGCTATACGAGAAGGAGAGGTCCTCTAATTTGATATTTCTGTGTGTGAGTGGTTCAACTGTTCCCTGATGTTTTTTTGTGTGCAAATTACCATTTTAAGAGTTTTGCCTAAATTGATCGTAGATTCGTGTAGTGTGATTTTATATTGAATTGATTGGTCATGTTTTCCAATTGTATATATTTATGGTGCCTCTTGTGTCTCGGTCTGGTTGATTTACTGCATTTAATTCTATAGTCAAATTCCATCGTACAATGAGATGTTTTATTTGTGTATTTTGTCCTGCATATTGTTTCCGTAAGTTATGTATTTCATGTATTTGTGTGGGCTATGCAGGGTTTTTGTCTCGAAGAAGGTTTTCCCCAGGTATCGCCTTGTTGTGTGCGTAATATATTTATTGGTTCTTATCCTTTCTTACGCAAGAAAACCTGCATTTTAACATTTTATTCAATTCCCCTCCCGATTGTGTCTCACGTCCCAACAACCAATTATACAACATATGAGTTCATTTGTACCATCCGTATCGAACCGACTGCTGCCGAGGTTCAAAAGTGCCGCGAAACGGCCGTCGTTTCGACTTGAAAGGTAGGTGGCTCTGCTCTTAGTTTTTCGCCAGAGTGTAAATAAGTATAGGATAAGTCAACATTTTCAGTGACGGCTTGAGGGACTCCTAGGATCACTACAACTTCCAAACTAAAAGAAAGAATAGTTAAATTCTTTAATGAAAGCACTGTAGTAGCTTATCAAAAAAATAATGTTTGGGGTGATTGCTTGATTTACTGTGAGAAAAAAGGTGAAAAGGAATAAAAGGATACAAATCTCAAGGCAACTTCACACACGTTATGATCCGTCATACCATCAAAGTTAAACGAAAACTGTTGCAGCAACAAGCGTTCTAATGGATTTCAAGGTGAGCCCAGATCATATTTGACAGTGCAAATGACCCTAAGCACCTAAATCGTTTTATTGTCTAAACAAAATGTAACAAGGATTCTTACATAATTCGCCTATATCTAAACAGTAGTTAATGTACGTAGTGGATAAAATTTGCCTTAATCGAAACTACAGGTGCCTACCGCAACAGGTCGCTTGAATAAACGAAAGTACCGAGTAACACAACCACTAATGATAATCAGATCTGAATACAATGTCTTCATTATACAGAATCAATACCAAATGAACAAAGGCGCATGGGAAAGAAGACGCATTATCTAGTAGGTCATAATTATACGGAAATTTGACAGTTTAAAATAGATTACAAGACATAATAGTTGTTGACATACTTCACCTTTCAGCGTAAACATAAAATTAGTAATTTTGAGAAAATATGTAAAAGAAATGCCAACACAAACATTAAAATTGGATACATTTCAAATTCAAACGCACAAACGCAACGCGAAGAATGTCGTGGTCAGCGATCTTCAAAGGTAACTAACCACCCTTTAGGAGCGTCTAACGAAAATTCCATAATCGCAATAGGAAATAATTCTGATGGAAAATTGGCAGACATACACGCACGTGGGAAATTCCGAGGGGATTGAACAAAACCGCGCAACTGGAAATTATATTAAAGTGTTCTATCTACGTGCGTTATATCTGCCCAGCAACGAATCATCTCCCTGCGGCTTACTGCACAAAACAAAGTTACATTTCGTCGGTACAAATTAAATTTTAACAGAACGTAATTGAACGCTGAATAGCGCTTTATACGTTCCCAGAATTCCACTTATTTTAAGCTTAATACAGAAACCGCAAATAAATGTGCTTGTCATGTACGAAGAACGGGAAATCCGAACCATACGTTTGGATAAAATGTAGTTATCATGTTGTATCGAATTTTCACAATAGGGAATTAAGATACCTACATATATTTTGAATTCCTTCAAGAACTACGACGGCAAGATGAAACTAGTGCAGAAATTCGGGGTAGAAAAGAAGACAAACATCGATCTGTAGCAAAACATAAGCCAGACCTTTACCAAAAATGTTGTTTACTAAATACGTAAAGGGTGCGAAAAGAATACAAAATTTAAGTAATGCAAAATAATTATGACTGCGGTGAAAAATACCCCTGAACTCTAGGCAACCCATAATACCTGCCGTTTCAACCTTGTCAAAATTGTCTGTATCTGTCATTTTCATTGTGTCTACTAGTTTTTCGCAAATTTGAATAGAAATGGCCTCACAATCCCGGCCATAGCGGCAAAATCTACCCTAATTTATGTAATCCACGCAAGTAAAAACAGGGTATTTCCTATTGTAAAAGTTCAAATTTGGAAGTAGTTGACTTCTTTACTCTATTCTTGCACTCTTTACTAATCATTCTACTCCCACTGTTTCAACATGAATCTACACATGACTCGAAAACTTCACCTTCGCATGCGCTACAGAGAACTCGTTGAGAAATTGCCCAATTACACGCGTTTATACAATGCGTAAATTTTATCTCCGAACATAGAAATCTCCTATGTTCACTTCTTAATGCCTGACAGTTATGCTACCCACCTTACCAACAAATTTAACAACTGTAACACAAAAGAAACTTAGGCGATTCGTCCATTTGCGCAACGAAACAAATGAAACCAGTTGCGCCCAACCATGAAACCAGTTGCGAACGCTGTTTTACCTATAGCTACTAATGGTGTGCAATTGCGATTGCAACCTATTTTGGATTTTGACGAAACCGCTTTTTCTTCACCTTAAATAGAAGAGCCCACCACCAGTGGCGTAGCGTAGGGGGGGGCGGAGGGGCGATCCGACCCGGGCGCCACTTTAGTAGGGGCGGCAGCGTCATACCTGCCAATAATACCCCGGGGAACTTTTGAAAATAGTTAAATTTTGATTTTTTAAGCAACTTGAAGATGCTTTATCTGACAAAACTGAGGAGAAAATCACGAAGAGACTTCTGTTCTCAATACTCCAATCTTTTAAATGCGATGTCTATGAAGCAATTCAAACACCATTATCTTCTTTGATTCTTGCGCATCTATGGGTTCGATTTCAAAAGCAGTTTTGTGTATATCCTTTTTACCGCATTACAAAAAAAATAGAAAAATACGCTGTTTTCTACCTGCCTGTCTTTATTGTAAGGCGACACCCCCCCCCCCCCCCAACCAACAATCGCAGGGAGGCACGCCCTGATCGCGCCCCGGGCGCCAACGTGCTACGCTACGCCACTGCCCACCACAAAATCTTCATCGGACGATGGCATCATTCAAACTCCAAAAAGGTTGGACAAATGGACATAAGTTGGTTTGATGAAACCTGTTTCACGCGACTGGTCGCAGCGACCGGTTGCTTATATGGGCGAGCTGCTTTAATAGATATTTTAGATACCTATTCGACCGATTTGTTTAGCACATTCGACTTATTAATTGTAAAACTATCTTTAAAGTGGTTTTAAAATGTTTTTTCAGTTAGTGGAATTTTACTTTTTTGCTGTGAATGTCGAATTCAATACGGACATGTATGAATTTTGTTCCTCTTATGCACGCTAAAATATTCGAGTTCATTTCTCCAATTAAAACACGACAAGTTCTATTTCTGGTGTAATGTTCATTAACAATTCAACCATCAGTCCATCAACATGAAATTTTTCAATGCTAATTGTGAATTATGCCAATTGACGGAATTTGCTTATCGAGATATTTAATAGCAAATAAATCCTGTTATTGTTGAAATAGGTCTGTAAGATTTCCATTTTTTCTTCTTTTGTATTTTATTAAGAATATAATTAATAATGTTAATTTAATAAATAATTCAGATATTGAGTCTATTGAAAACATTTAGAAAAGATGAAACATTGGTTAAGCGCTACTTGATTTGTGTATTTAAGAATTAAACATAGGAGAATTGTATGTTCAGAGTTAAAATTTACGCACTGTGTATTCCGACGAATCAAAAATACGAGTTGGAATTACATTATATATGCATTGTATATTTATACAATGATATATTGTTGTGTAAATTACGTCATGCGGACGCTTTAGCTGCTTACAGTGCAAATAGTATTGGATCACCCTGTATGTGTCAATTTTCAATTATTTGTAACGTTAATTAGGTTAATAATTTAGACTGAACACAATTTCGATCATGGTTTTCGAATTTGAAATCAATGTGTTTTGTATTAGATTT